TTTGAAAAAAGCCAATACCCAATGGTGTCATATTCTTGCTCATTGCTCAATTCATGATTCCATTTTTTGGTAATATTGTTTAATGTGGACAGGCAGTAATGAGTAATTATGTGCTCAATTTAGTGGACAATACATGAATCACGATAAGCTTGTGTACAGTGCTCCATTTAAATCTGTGACGTCACTAATCTGAACTTTAATCCTATATTTTGTTCTGAAAAATCTTCCGTTTAAGATCAAAACAAGTTCACGATTATGTGCCGCGGTACCGGCACTGAAAGTGGATGTTCTGTTTAATCGAAGAAAAGAACTTACTGATGATAATTCTTATCAGCTGCTAGTGCTACAATTATTTTATCAATAGCCGTGATAACTCTTATCTTATCTGTGCTGAGTGCTGATTTTGTGCTTTTGTTAAATATTGCTGTATTAGACATTAATATTACTTGCTGTTGATTTTATTAATGTGTCCATTTCACAAATTAATTATCTAGCTTGTGAAGCCCTATTACAGGAACAAATCTGATCTCCTTCACCATGTCTAATTGTCGACCTCTTCAAACTGCTACCCACGAACCTTAACAAACTTCGTGAAACTGGAAGCGAAGTAAAAGTTACCTGTTATCGAATGGCCATGCCTTATTTGGTTGTTTGACTTGCATTTTTTAATGAGGTTGAGGTATCTGATGTATAATTGTATTGTAGCCGCACCATAGTATTTGATGCGGCTCTTTTCGAAGACAAATATTCAATCGGATAAAAGCCAGCAAATTATTGTGCTTTCTTGAGATATTTTGCTGTAACATTAATTGCTGTCTTTTCGACCGGGTCCTCGGGAAAATGCGAATGTATGATCTGTTCATTGCTATGGCAATTATCCGATCCTGACAATTCAGAATTGATAAATTAACGTAATTATTGGGTAAAATTACAAACAAACTTCAACTTGACATTATATTGACAATTGGTTCGATCGACGGACAATTGCAACCGCTGGCATCTGAGTTTACCTACTAGGCTGTTTGGCTGGTACGAGACACCGAATGGAACCACCACGTGACTTACACTCATCACTGACCAAAGTCAACTCGGTCGACTGTTAATAATAATATTATTCTAACCGGTAAATTTGTATGTGATCATGGAAGTGTTTACCTAATTCATGCTATCGTTCTCATATTTTAACGAGGAAGGAATGGAGGAGGAGGAGGAGGAAAGCAAATTTCGGTATTTGTAGATATAGATGGTGAGAGATTAGAGAATTGATTCAAGATGTTCGGATCTGGACGTTTTCGCCTTCAGGTTAGATTTATTTTAGCAATGCGGAGTATCAGCAAGAGCTTCACTCAAAAGTTACAGCTTATCATGACAATAATCATAATTATATTCTCTTAAAAAACTTATTCATTAATTGAATTAGGTCATCATTTCTACTTTTAGTTGATGCAATTTTCTGCAATTAATTCGCCCTCGAATTAGATAGATAACAATGATAACAATTTCTAAGCTGTGCGGTTCAATGGGTGAATATTTGGCTGGATGAGGCTGGTGCCGAATATTTACCATTTACGCTGGCGAGATGATTCGATGGAATTCAACGACGATGTACATTGTACAGCAGAGTTTTGTGAAGTGACTTCAGTGAACGAGCAGGATAGCAGAAGCACCGTATGAGTATTATAGTGGGAGGGGGGAGGGGGGCTGAGATGTCCGCTAATGCCCCATTATCTCATAGAGTCCAAAAAGGACAAGCACATTAGCGGACATTAATTTCCTTCAGTGGTCAGTGGATAATGTTGGTCCTCATTTTTCGGAACAAGCTCAATTTCTTTCGTTTCTAATACTGTTTTACATAAATCTCGTAAGGCCGAGCGTCAGGCTTTAACAGTAGTGTTTAGTAGGAAGCATCACAGCTCTCGATAGACAAAGTAAAACAAGGCAAATACTGGTAGAACTGCATGCAAATAATCAACGTTACGACACTCTTAGTACAAGACCAATGATTGCCGAAACGTCGATTATTTTCATATAGTTTTACCAGTTATTCAGGGCCGTGGTAGGGGTGGGTGTTACCTGCAATTATCATTATCATAACTCATTGCTTACTACACGCTGCAAGTGCATATCTATTTCACGTGCGAAAAGGAAAATGAAACTCATGTCAACTTGAACGCATTGCTAAATTTCAAACCTGAAAGCTTTTGCTTCAAAAACATTCTGGGGCTACGCCTCCTTGAGACGAAAGTGACACAATAAAAACATGTTACAATAATTTATATTCTCTACTGTTAGATTTTGTTCCCTGAAACATATTTCAAGGAATAAAATCTATTTCCAAGTATTCCTTCTCTACAAAATTTGCATTTAAACTTCGAGCGTTGGTCCAAAAATTGCTACAATTGTCACTTCATATTGCCAGATTTCGATCCTTAAAGCAAATTTCCGAAAAACTTTTCCGAGGCTGATATCCCCCATTAACAGCACTTGTTTCGCGAATTGTCAATAAAGGGTTTTATCCGGTTTCAAAATCTATTTAGGAAGTACAAAAGGTCCTCGAGCGAATTTTCCCGGGCCCATAAAATCCACTCTAAGTCTACGGCACTGCAGTTATTTGCCTTGTTTTACTTTGTATGTCGAGAGCGGTGCTCTCTAAGTCTAACTAAGTAACAGTTGAATGGTTAATATCATTATACTTAAAATTAAAGCCATTCCGTAGTATGGACTTTGAACTCCAAAATCGTGCTATTTCTTTTTGCCTTTATAATAAACGAATTAGCTCCTAGCATGCGAATCTATGATAATTTCATCGTCATTTAACGTTAACTTTAAGTATGTATGGTGTACTCTCTAAGAAATGGCTAGGAAGTAAAGAGGAGGAAATCATAAATATGCCATCTTAAAGTATACTCAGGCTGCCCCAAACGAAAAAAGCGAACAAGTTACTTTTGTTAATAATTCGCCACAGATTTAACCGTACGACCTGAGGCTTCCCAAGTCATGTGTTATGATGCTGATTGCTGCAGAATCTGTGTTACAAATCAAACGAATCAAAGGGAACCACTTGATATTTGCTAAGATTGATTTGAGCTATGTGGTGCTGTCCCATAATATTTAGCCAAATTATCCCTTATTCTAATATCCTTTTGTCCCCTCTACAATACATCACCCTACTGCAGTAGCTGTTGGTTTGGTTTAATTAACAGTACTAGTAGCATTCTTTAACTTTAATTGAATCACCCTGCTAGTTTGCGACATGATTAACTTTTCGAATGATACAATTTTGTTTGATTAATTCTAATTTCTAAAGGATCATTCATATTAAAAGTAAGTCAGCCTAGGGGAGCAAAAAATGGCTTACGATATATGTGAACGATATCAGGTTGTTGTCGCTATAATAGATATCACTGACTTCCTATTTTACTCTAAGTATTCCAGTCCAAACTCTCATTGAGTCGAAGTAATTCATGTGGATCAATTATCTAATCAAAAATGCAATGGTTTTCAGAACTGGTGTGCTATTCCACATCGGGTTTTAATACAATAAATTACAACTTTAATTTCTTTCTCTTAACTCTTTGAGATGCTGGGAAAATATTACAATTTTTTCAGCAGAACATTTCTTTCTAGATCATTCATAGAAAAACTTGATGTGTGCGGTGTTATGTTGATTAAAATGCATGCTGTCGGCAGATGGGCTCCGTTTTAGCTTTACTGATTTTATTTATTTTTATTTGAAAATTCAATTAATTATTTTATATATAAATCAAGCGTTACGTTTCAGCCATGCAAAATTACAATGACTTATTTTGATATACTAATTGGTAAATGATGCTGCAATATATAGTCGAGGTTTAGAGGTGAGTACCAAAAAATATAAAAGAAATTCCCAGAAAAGTGGGGATGAAAACCCTGACATTTAGTACAAGAAATATTTAAGTAAATGAGATAAATGCAGCAAAAATCGTAAGTGTATACTGTGGCTTAAAACTAGTGCTATAATTGTGCCATGAGATTATGATAATGTTCATTTTACCTATAAATCAGGACTCATTAACGATAATGACGGTCTTCCTGGTCCGTGCCAATAACTAATTACAATGACACAAAGAATGAATCAATTCTTACGAAAAGGTGGAAAACTCTGATCACGTGATTCTGACCACCTTGGTGAGTTTGGTTTCCTTCCCTATCTTAACCTGTGGAATATATCTTCAGTCCCTTCAAGAGTTACCAAAGCTGCTCATTTCAGTGCCACAATATGAATATTCTTTTGGTAATCTTGGATGATTTATTAAATTATTCTTTAATTAGTTGGAGTGCAATGTCAATATTACACTCAAAATAATTTTTCAGTGATCTTGATGATTTTTGGACTATGATTTTTATGTTTTCCGCGAAATTGAGATTGTTGTTTTATGATTTTATGTTGGGACCGTTTCTATAGTGGCACATTTCCATGGTATTGATTTTTAATTATTTCCGTATGTGTGATAATATTAATGAATAATTGTTGAATTATCGATCCTGAAAATGTAATTCTCACAGATAACACGTTTTGTTTCACGAGATACTATTTGTACGGAGAAAGGAAAAATAAATATAATAGCAGTTATGATGATATGTTATTTCTTGTGAAAAATTGGTCCAATCCTGGATACGTGTAGTCCGCTGAATTGGGAATATGTGAATGGAAATAAAGCTAAACTAAAGTCTTAGTCTAGGTGGAGGTTAGCAAAAATAAATAATCTGATCTGTGATCTAGCAGGAATTTTTGGTGCCTCACACTGATATATTTGGTTTGGTCAGAGGGGGCTTGCAATACAACCCCTATTGACACAAACTCAACTATTTCAAAAAATGTATTATAGTTATTATATTGTTTGATATTTATATTGTAGCATGCCAGTGACAGTAACAGAATGAACGTGATTGTTTGATTTTGATGAATTTCTCTCCGACAATTAGGCAACAACCAGCTTCTTTTAAACCCCACAATGCATAGCTCAGCTAAATGATGGCTCCTATGACAAGTACCAAAAGATCTCACCCTGACGATATCTCCCCAAAGAGTAAGACAGTCCTAACGATACCTAACTCTCCATCGGACAGTTCTGAGAGGAGTCCTAAAAGGGTCTGCAGACTATCTCCGACTCATCGAGGTGAATTTTCTAACGAGATAGATTTATCCTTAATTTTACTAACAGTGTCATGTCGTCATTGTCAATTATTCCACTCAATACTAATAGTGCCATTGTGATTGAGTGGTGAACCATTGATGTGAATTCATCTGCTGACAGCATACAGCCATATACCCCCGATATATACCTAACATAATTGGCTTAGTCACTCTTGACAATGATGACGTCACTCGTGACGATGATGACGTCACTGGCGCTAACAACGTCATTAGTAACAACAATGTCACCTTCTGGCTTTTGGCGCTGATGAATAATGTTGGCATATATTGCATAATACGTAATAATTCAGTCTCTCACTATTCAATGATATTGATACACTTGAAACTATGAAAGGAATTGACAATATTGTCAGTAAAACTCGATGGTTCCAACCCCAGAAGATGGCAATAATGCTTGTTTGACCAACATCCATTAACCAGAATGATTTTTCAGGAGGAACATCGCATGTTTCTAACCTGAAGATAGCTGTGGTGTGTTCCAGTAATCAGAACAGAAGTATGGAAGCTCACAACTTGTTACGGTAAATTTTATTTGTTGCTTCTAAAAGTAGAATTTATCCGGACAGAGGACATTAAGAAAAGTTTCGTCGGCGGTAGTTCTTTGTGGTGATTGTTCAGAATGCTTTAATTTAGAAGTTGAGGAATCTGGTAGAATAAATTCATTTTTTACAGGAAGAGAGGATTTAGAGTACAATCGTTTGGAACTGGAAGTTGTGTTAAATTGCCGGGTCCCACCGTAGACAAACCGAACATTTACAGTTTTGATACTCCTTATCAGGACCAGTTCGTTGACCTCAAGGTTGGTTTCATTATTGCAAATTTTCATAACAACGAAAATATTTCGAGAGTTTCCAATCTGTAGTTGTCTTGGAAATATTTCTGAATCGAAATTTTTTACAGAGAAAAGACTCTGCGTTCTACACGCAGAACGGACTTCTGAACATGCTGGATCGGAATAGGAGAATCAAAGAGAAACCAGAGCGTTTTCAGGAAAATCAGGACGAGTTCGATTTAATTGTTACTTGTCAAGAGCGAGTGTTCGATCAGGTCCTTGAAAGTAAGTCATTCTGATTCAGTACCCTTTATTTTGAGCTCCATAATGTAATCATGTTTAATTTGATCTGAAGATGGTACTAAAGAAGAATGTGTTGGGCGATGGCAATCGATCAAGAAAATAACCGACTTAAACCTTTACAGATATGAGTGAAAGAGGTGGGAACTCCTGTAAAATGGTCCATGTTATCAACGTTGAAATTAAAGATAATCACGATGATGCCACTCTTGGAGCTTTCGTTATTCACGAACTTGCAAAAGAGGTTCGTGCTCAAATATTTCAAATAATTGATTTCACGAATCGAAATTTTAGATTCGTCAATTTTTTGCTTTTTGGTTCACGAATCAATATTTTAAAACTTTATTTCACCTAGATCTGCTCGTCGGAAGATCCAGAAGCTGAGGTGGAGGAAATCATTGATACAATGGAGAAGAAGAAAAAACAAAGATTCCTTTACTCTCCCTCTTTTTATTGAGCCACCATAATCATAATTCAAGGAGGTTGATAACCAAGTTTCGCTAAATTGGGCGAACTTCAGGACTTGCTCTAGCGGTGAAATTATTGTTCGTGTTAGTGTTACTTCTTCTTTACCCTGTACATACCCTGTACATACACCTAACACCAGAAGTTACCTTTTGTGATTATAGCGAGGTTTAACGCATTGTAAATAATTTCACACTTAACCACGTGAATTAGTTCCACACTGTTAGTGTTATAACTGAAGGAGTTGACTGAAAGAACAGCTCGTACTCTTAGTCTTATAGATGTTTTCGACAGAATTTTAAATCATGGATGATGACGATATTCAGTCATAAACATGAGGGTATTTTATGTATTTTTACTTGCGATTTTATCGATTCAATAACTTGTTCATGTTAAATTAACTAATTCTTAATTAGACATCACACTATAACATAACTGTTTCATTAACGTGAAAGTTTATATTATTGGAAAAATTGGTGTCCTGAAAATTGTGACTCACGCAAAAATTAAATCAGGAATCTTTAACCAAAGTTGTTCTACTGAAAGTTGGATAAGTTTGACACGGATTACTTGTACAAGAACTATGGGAAAAATTTGTGCTTCAACGACCAATAAATGTGTCGAAAATTATCCAACAAATTAAAATATGACAACATGATCAGTTGCTCATCGTGAATTTTCTTCCATTGTCGTATATCATATATACCATACCGGATGACCATTTTAACATTCGAATTTTGTACAGCTCAGTTATAATATGGCTCCAATGACGAGTACCAAAAGATCCTTTCCGGACAATGTCTCCCCGAAGACAGTCCTGACGATACCTAACTCTTCGTCCGACAGTTCAGACAGGAGTTCTAAAAGAGTCTGCAGATTATCTCCTCCAACAAATCGAGGTTAATATTGGTTCAGTGGTACTATCGAGTACATGGTGCTGTCGAGTGCATGATACCATCGAGTTCATGGTGCTATTCAGTATTCATGGTACCATCAAATCCATGGTGATTAGTGATACTGCCATTACCCTCTGATCGACATCGATTAGATGTTATAATCTCCGGTGACGGTTGATATTGTCGCCATGATAGTAGTCAGCAGTGTCGTCCACTTAATTGAATTTGAAATCCATAGTATTTGCGGCGCCATCAACGTCATAAATGAAGATATCATCAATTATCATTTAATGACGCCAATAAATGATCAGGTTAAATGATAATTATTGTGATTCTAATGGCACCAATTTCAGTTTGGCAATAAGGGGTCGTTCACATAATATTATTACGTAATCGTTTTTTGGGAAACTTTTACCCCCCCCCCCCCTCCGAAATCAGTTTATAGCTATTGTGTCAAAGTTACACTAGCGTAATCATTCGGAAACCCCCCCCCCCCCTCAGCTGATTATGTAATATGTGAACGACCCCTAACCTTGTTGCTTGTGGCCATCGAATATCAATAACTTCAATGACGTTTATTATTATTTACCATAGATGCGGAGTTCGTTGATTTTTGGCGTAGAGTTCGTGGAGTTCGTTCAAAATTTGGAGTTCGTTAGAGTTCGTTGGAGTTCGTTAGTCAATTTTTCAAAAAAAAACATGGAAAATGTTTTTTTAAAAAAGTAATCAGCTCCTTGTACTGTGAAATGTACAGTGTACACGCGACGCGTGGTAGAAGTTTCGAGTACCAATATATTTAGTTGTTTTACAATCGTATGTTATGTGTTGAATTGGCTGAATTGTAAATACAATTTCTGTTTAATTTCATTTTACGTAAGTTGTACAAAACGAACTCCTCAAGAGTTCGTAATTTTGGGTTGATGAGTTCGTAGAGTTCGTTGTCACTGAGGAGTTCGTAGAGTTCGTACGTATCATCTATGTTATTTACCCCACTTCACAAATAATCAGACAAATTCCAGAATGTAGATACCGTCCTCACTGTCAAATCAATGACCAATTATTCTTTTCAGGGGGTTCAACGCTCGTTTCTAACTTGAAGATAGCTGTGGTGTGTTCCAGTAATCAGAACAGAAGCATGGAAGCTCACAACTTGTTAAAGTAAGTTTTATGAGCTTTTTTATGAGTGTTACCTCAATTTCTCCTTGATATATTGGTTGTTTCTCAGATCCCCAAAAGCGATATTTTAAATGAAACCCGAATTTACTCATACTGGTGGACATTAAAAACTGTTCATTAACTGCTTTTTACTTTGTCCCGAAAAAATTATTTTGTTTATAGAGTTGTTGATTCTTCATTCTGGTAATGGTATACTAAAGAACACCCTATACAGGAAGAGAGGATTTAGAGTACAATCGTTTGGAACTGGAAGTTGTGTTAAATTGCCGGGTCCCACCGTAGACAAACCAAACATTTACAGTTTTGATACTCCTTATCAGGACCAGTTCGTTGACCTCAAGGTTAGTGTGATGTAGGCAACAGATAATTTCATTTTGATGTTTTTTAGATCTTGACTTCAAGGATGGTAAATGCGTTTTGGGGAGACTACGCGTAGATACTACGCATACGTATTTCCCGATGATAAATTACGTATTTCAAATTAAGTTGCAGTAACGCACGAAGATATATATATAAATATTACATTACAGTATATGGAATCGTGGCCTAATTGGTTAATACGCTAGCTCCATATCAGCAGATAGCGAGTTCGAGACTTGGATAGGATCATTTTTTCCCATACTTTTGGCAATTATGAATAACTAATGAATAACTAAAAATACCTCTGTAATATAACTAGCAAGGTGAAATGAAATCGTCTTCCGGCCGAAAAAATTATTATAGCCGTTTTAAAAATTTATTATAGCCGTTTTTTCTTTCCAGGCTGGATTCCTAGTCACTTTTTAAATTTATGCCACTGGGAAGTCCGTGTTAATCCGGTAACCGGTTTCAAAATTCAAGCCAGAGAGACTTGTGATCTTAGTCTGCGAATATTGTAATAGATAAAAATGCACTGGAACTGGGTCTCGGTTGAAAGTCTATTCCTCGAGGGAGGCATAACTGCTTTATACCCTTAGAAGCTCTGCTTTGCAGCAGACTGACTGATTAGTTGGTTCAGCATAAGAATAGCAAGTTGCTGCAGCGTTTTCATTCGAGCACCGTAAAGTCTCCAAAACGACTGTCAGTATTGCTATATACCACTGAGCCAGCGACGCACGCGCAAATATCACTAATCTGTAATCACGTATTTCCATAGAGATACGCGCGTATTTTGAAAAATTTTACCATCAAAGAATTTAAGCGCCAAATTTTGCCGTATTTCACGTATTTCTTAGAATTTTTGAATACGGCGTATTTACAGGCGATTTTTTGACGTATTTACCATCGATGCTTGACTTAGAGGCCGTTGAGCTGTTATTATTTGGGAAATTTTTCTGAATAAAGATTTTTTACAGAAAAAAGACTCCGCGTTCTACACGCAAAATGGACTACTGAACATGCTGGATCGGAATAGGAGAATCAAGGAGAAACCAGAACGTTTCCAGGAAAATCAGGACGAGTTCGATTTAATTGTAACTTGCCAGGAGCGTGTGTTTGATCAGGTCCTTGAAAGTAAGTCCATCTGTACCGCTTAATATATCTTAATATAACTTAATATAACTTAATATGAATACCTACTTCGAATTTTGGGTTTGATAGGATGTTTTAAGGGAGACTGTTATGCCAAAAAACTGACCGAAACTTTTACAGATATGAGTGAAAGAGGTGGGAACTCCTGTAAAATGGTCCATGTCATCAACGTTGAAATTAAAGATAATCACGATGATGCCACCCTTGGAGCTTTCGTTATTCACGAACTCGTCAAAGAGGTATGTCTCAAAATAAAAAAGATATCTTTTGAAACTAATCCAGTGCGTCTTGAATTCGTCAATTTTTGGATTTTGCAACCCGATTATTTATATTTGTGGTTCATGAATCAATATTTACAAACTTTATTTCGCCTTAGATCTGCTCGTCGGATGATCCAGAATCGGATCTGGAGGAAATTATCGACACAATGGAGAAGAAAAAGAAAAAGAGATTTCTTTACTCACCCGCCTTTTATTGAGGGATAATGAAATTAAACCAAGGTTGTCGTGATCGTACCTAAGTTTAATGGAATGCATTTGTAATATTTTCCTAAGAAAGTGAATTATTACTTTACACTATTAGTATTAATTACCTGAAGGATTCTGTTGTGAACTGGTGCAGAACAGATTCGGTGAACATTACAGAGTTGTCATCCACCCAAAGCTGCTGAAAATCAACTTAATTTAATTAATTATGAAGTATTCTGGCTCGTTTTCTGCATCTTGTGAGTTTTACAGAATCACGGATGGTTATATTATTATGTATACGGTCGATTGAACATTTGGTTAAACAGTTGATTTTGAAGTAATTTCTAAGTAATTATTACCATGATACTGATAAATAATAGAGCTTTTCAATGGACTGATAATGGCACTCTTAGTCTTACTTTTACGCTGCATACATAACACAGATAAATTAGGGTATTTTATTAACTAATACCAGTGATTTTATTAACTAATACCAGTGATTTTATGGATTTGATAGTTTGTTAAATCATCTAATTTTCACAATTACACTTCACATGATTGTTTCATTAAGTTAATCGTTAAATCGGGGAAAACGCTTTCCTGAAAAATGTTATTCATTTTATTGATAACAATTGAAATTTGACCTTAAAGTAAAGTTGTTGTACTTAACTGTATGGCTTAGCTTATATGTTCGTTAATGTTGCTAACGCCTGGAAATTTTGGCACTGATTATGAGCGTGACCGAAAAGGCGATTTTCCTAGTGTAAAGTTTTGGGAGCGAAGCCTCCGGAAAATTGTTGAAAAAATTTAACATAGTTAATCAAGAAATGTGAGGAATCTAGGAGAGTAGGGGAAGGCGAAGGACAGGAAGGATAATTTCGCAAAATTAAGAGGGGAAATTGAATCAAATTACTGATTACCGAGCGTCCAGCGTTATTTCTTGCAAACAGGAAATGCGTAGCACAATCTGAAATATTTGTTAACAATTTTCGGCGAAATGTCAGGCTGAGCATCGCCCAGTATTGATATCTACTATAAGCCTAACATGTTACCTGGCGGCACACTATCTAGGCTTACATGATTCAGCATGCAGAATCAGTACTTCCAAGCACCAAGGGTTTTTTCAAGATTTTACGTAATATAAACCAGATTTCGGTCATTCTGGAAAGTTTTAATGTTAAATTGGAGACTGCAAATTGCAGATGCTGATGATGATATTGATAGTCATAAATTACTCTACACTATAATAATCTTTTATAATAGTAATACGGATTTTATGTGACTCTGACCCCAACCCTAACAGTAACACTAACCCCAACCCAATTTTTGGATTGTGCAACCCGATTATTTACCTTATCGGACCTTATTTGGACGGACATTACTTGAACGCTGGAGGCCCTAGCGTTCATTTTAATGTCCGTTCAAATAAAGTCCGTTCAATTAATGTCCGTCCAAGTTAAAGTCCGTTGAAATTTTTTCAAAAATTTGTCCATTTTGAACTTTTTGTCCAGAATATGACAACTATGAGAACTTTATTGTGCCGTAAGTTAACGAAGGAAATGTTCTCCTTGGTCCATGCTGGAGGCACAGAAAACTCTATTAGTATATGATGTTTTCAAGGGTCACTTGGCGGAAAAAGTCAATAATAATATATGATAAGTGACGTTCAGGAAAATTTGATGGACGAAGAAAATTGAAAATTGAAAATAAGACACAAGTCCAGAAATGAGCTGGCGGTGGGATCGAATGATAAATTAGCTTAGCCGACTGAATGATTCAATGAAACAAGAAATATTTTAAGACTGTATAATTGGTGTGGAACAGCCCTTAAACATTCTGCAATTTATGGAGGATTTCTGGAATTTCTGGAAATGATCTTACTTTACCTCACGTTTGCACCCCGACACTAAGTGGACCGACAATGGTATGGGGGTCACGACATGATGGTATGAGGGTCACGACAATGGTATGGGGGTCACGACTTCATACAAATCTTAATCAGGTAACCGGAAGTTAACCCAGTAGAGGAATCTATGAATCTTTTCTAGCCGTTAAGTAAACATCTACGGTAAGGTAATGCTTCCCTTGACGATAACCCAGCCTGTGGACATACTATGTTTCTAAGATAAACATATATCTCTGCGGCTATTTTTATCCTCAGGATGCCAGATAATATGAGAAAAAAAAACACTTCAGTTTATATTGGTCGTTCGCTTTTCTTATTCTGATTCATTCACGGCCGATTTCATTCTCGGCAACATTTCGCGTTTAGTACAGAAACGGTAATTTAATTTGATATCATTTCCTTTTATTTGGAAAAAGGAAACTTTTGTTACGTTCCATGCACTTTATATTATTACCCAATTTTGGGTTTTGGTTGAAAACTATTTCCAATGGAATTGAACATGAAATAATTTAAGTTTAACTACATGTATATTGTATAGTGTCAGTGACAAATAAAAGTGTCAATGCAATGCAAACATTTATATCAATATGTGCCATTAATTTACGAGAGGGCCACCAAAATGTTTGTCGAAATAATTTTTGGGAACTAAGAGTAAAATAAGAAACTTTCTAATAGTAATTGTGGTACGAGAGAGCATATTATTATAAACAAATTAATTCTATCAAAATTCTTGTTACTGGGCGGCGCTCGGCCTATCAATTGTTATTCCAATATATATTCAACCTGTTTATGAACAGAGAGGTCCCCAGGTAAAATTCGTGGGGAGATATAATTAAATTTCTCAATCGTTATGTGGTAGTTGGTATGGTACCCTGATAATGACTTGTAATTTATACTTATACTTAAACCCATGTCTATACTGGAGCTACGCGTTTCCAAGAAAGCTTGATTACTTGATTCAATCATTATTCAATTCCCCGTAAAACAAAAATAATTCCTCCTTTCCCACCTCTAGATACCTCGCAATGTTCACATGTAATAGCAGATAATTCAGGGGTGTAGGAATGATTTTCTGTGCGCCACAGTCAGAATTTCAAAGGTTTTATAAATTTCAATACTATAGTAGTAGTATCGTGCAGTTAAAGTTTGCCGAAGGCAAACATTTTTGAACATTTTGCTCGTGCAAAACGCCTGGAAGCAATTTGGCAATACTAATAGTAGGCGGTGCACGATAAAAATAAACTTGCTCGGATTTTCAAAATTTTTGTACCATCATTTTCTAATTCTAGAGACTGTGAGAATTTTCACAGTAGCAAATTTATCATACCTTTTTGGAATGATCAGTGAGTTTCGCCTAGGTGCCATTTTTGATGGTGCGCGGCTTTTGGAGCAAAATTAGGTGTAAAAGTCGCGTAATTTAACGAAATTCGTTGATTTTTGTCGTATTATTCTGAAATATCTTCAGTTCCTGAACATAAATCATGCTGAAAATTTGTCAGAACCTTCCAATCATACTTAACTACCGAACCTAATTTAGTTGGGAGAGATTGGCCTTGATTAAGAGGTCTAAAAAAGACAAAATAGGTATAAATTCGTTGATAACTCAAATTCTGAGCATCGAAATTGCTCAAACTAAATTAGGTTCAGTAGAACATAAGTGTTTACGTAAGCTGACCAAATTTCAAGAAAATTGTTATATGGGAAGTATAATAACTTTTCGATTGTTTCCAAAATAATGTGCTGGCCGAAATAAGAGCAAAAAAACCATTCAATGGTCAGCGCGCGCGTCTTATTGTCGATGGCGCACTGCCTACTAATAGAGACATTTTTGAACTATGCTTACACTGTACACCATTAAAATATTCTCTACAAATAATATAACACTAGTTCTACTAGTATATGATGTTTTCAAGGGTCACTTGGCGGAAAAGTCACCGAAATTATGGCACTCAACAACATAGTTCATGAGTTAGTCCCCGCCAACATGACAAACTTGTTCCAGCCTCTAGATATTACGGTAAATCGTGTTGCCAAGGACATTGTCCGACGTTGTTATAGTTCATATAACTCAGGGGAGGTAATGAAACAGTGCTAGGAAAGCCCCACGTGATGTTAAGGTAAACCTAAAGTTGTCTAAGATAAAACCACTTCACGCCGAATGGCTTGTAAAAGTTAACACTGAAATGCAGGACCGGGGGGCGGGGTAGTTTGATAAAAAAGGTTTCCATAAAGCTAGAAACCACATATGCTTTAAGCATGGACTATTCTATGCACGAAAACCCATTTGATGAAGATGATATGTGATATTAGACACTGATCATGTACACATATTTTAACATTTTTAATGCTTAACGACTGCTTTTCTTATTTACTGTATTAAAAATGGATTTAAAATCATTTGCTGAAATCAAAAAACGTCAAAAAATTGAAAAAAATTCGGATTTTTGATGGTTTTGAATGCCTTCGAGCGTTCATATTAATGTCCGTTCATAATTATGTCCGTTCATGTAATGTCCGTCCAAATTAGGTCCGATAAGGTATAAGCTTAGCTTATATGTTCGTTAATGTTGCTAACGCCTGGAAATATTGGCACTGATTATGAGCGTGACCGAAAAGGCGATTTTCCTAGTGTAAAGTTTTGCCTTTGGGAGCGAAGCCCCCGGAAAATTGTTGAGAAAATTGAACATAATTAATCAAGAAATGTGAGGAATCTATGAGAGTAGGGGAATGCGAAGGACAGGAAGGATAATTTCGCAAAATTAAGAGGGGAAATTGAATCAAATTACCGAGCGTCCAGCGTTGTTTCTTGCAAACAGGAAATTCGTAGCACAATCTGAAATATTTGTTAATAATTTTCGGCGGAATGTCAGGCTGAGCATCGCCCAGATTGATATCTACTATAAGCCTAACATGTTACCTGGCGGCACACTATCTAGGCTTACATGATTCAGCATGCAGAATCAGAACTTCCAAGGGATTGTTCAAGATCTTACGTAATATAAACCAGATTTCGGTCATTCTGGAAAGTTTTAATGTTAAATCGGAGACTGCAGATTGCAGATGCTGATATTGATAGTCATAAATTACTCTACACTATAATAATCTTTTATAATAGTAATACGGATTCTATGTGACTCTGACCCCAACCCTAACAGTAACCCCAACCCAATTCCTGTATCAGGCATTTTCTAAATAAAACCATAGCCATTATAATTTGGACATACTTCCTTATAATTATATGGCCATGAAACGTAGTCAAAACAGTTTATCGCCGATAACTCGTCAAGTCGTCAGGGATCGAACTGAGGGAAGCATATTAGCCCTGTTATAATTATACTTGTTTGTTTGTTTGTTTGTTTATACTTGGATCATGTGAGATTTAGAGGTTTATTTAAATTTGTATACCTATGGAACTGTAGAACTGTATGAACTGTAGAAATCCAGAGAAGATCCTGGGGACGGGAACGAGCATGTTACTGTTAGTGTTAACAAGAGTCAAAAATACCGGCAGGGCACTCAATTGAATTCCGTAAGTGTTCTGGGCGTGAAACATTGTCTTCAGGAGAAGAAATCTGTCGCTCCAAGTTATTCACAGGAAACGGATCACTGAATCACTTTAAATGCTCAACTGTTTCGAGGAGAATTGG